AAACCAGAAGAGCTATTAGAGGAGATAAAAAACAGCTTTTTATAAATAGAATTGAACAACTCCATACGAAAGGAAGAGACAGAGACATGTTTGAAGAAATTAAAATATTGAAAGGCGATTTCAGGCCTTCTTTTCATGTAGTAAGTGATAAAAACGGTAACACATTAACGGAAACGAAAGACATATTAGGACGATGGAAAGAATACTGCAGAGAAATGTAAGAAGAAGTGACAAGTAATTCAAAAAAGACTTGTGAAAGTTATGAAAAAGAACCAGAGCCTTTACTGGATGAGGTACGATCGGCAAAAAACAGCCTGAAGAAAGGAAAGTCATCAGGTTGCGACAAAATACCAGCAGAACTACTTCAAGAAAGAGAGGCCAGCGTGCGAATTTACCATGCACTGTGCTCGAAGATCTAGAACAGTGGCATTTGGCCTAAAGCGTGGAAAAGAACAGTCTATATCCCTCTCCCAAATAAAGGAAATCCAAAACTATGCTCCAACTACCGTACCATCGCATTAATAAGTCATGCTAGCAAAATCCTCTTACGAATTATCATGAAAAGGATTGAAAGGAAACTACAATAAGAGCTAGATGAAGCACAAGCTGGTTTCAGGGTAGAGGAACTAGAGATCGCATCTTTAATATGAGAATAATTTCCTTTAATGCAGAGAATACAACGAAGATCTTCATGCTTGTTTTATTGATTATAGCATGCCATTTGATTGTGTCCAGCACCATGAACTGTGGACTTTTATGAAAAGTATGGGATTTCCAGCACATTTAGTGCATTTAATTAAATATCGTTATCATGAACAACAAGCAGCCGTCAGAGCAGCTGGTAAAACATCTGATTGGTTCAAGGTGCAAAAGGGAGTGAGGCAAGGGTGCATTATCTCACCATACCTATTCTGAATCCGCTATCACTACCGACGGTCGGCCTATGGATCATGTTGATATTATCAATGCCCTCAGAGAAATGGGAAGGATAGAGGACTTTGGTGGCAGTGAATCTACATCACTCGCCAGTATGGCAGACTTGGGAATTAAGATCGGCACAGCAAAAAAACGAGACGCACACCGGACACGTCAGAAAACTTGTTAATCAACATAGAACTGGTACTATTAGCCATCGGACGTTGGGGTTCATACTGAGGGGAGGATCAGAGCACCTATGGACATGTCCAGAGTGCAATGATGATAACCCTACTAACTAACTAACTAACTAACTAACTAACTAACTAACTAACTAACTAACTAACTAACTAACTAACTAACTAACTAACTAACTAACTAACTAACTAACTAACTAACTAACTAACTAACCATACCTATTCAATATATACTCAGAAAATATAACAAGAAATGTCAAAAATGACCAGACTTGTGACAGTAATGATCCACTCAAAATTGGTGGCAACCCTATTCCGAAACTCCGCTACGCAGATGACACAGTCCTCCTTTCGAACAGCGTAAAGGGAATAGAAAATTTAAAATTGTCTGTCCAAAAGCACAATGAAGATCAAAGTTTGTTCTTGAATTTAAAGAAAACGAAAATAATGTCCACAGATAAAAGTCCAAGTCCTTTTGAGGAAAAAAATGAAAAGGTCGACCACTTTCAGACTGCTGCTATCTAGCCGAGGCTGCTAACAGCCTCCGCCTATATTTGTGGTCTGGGTTATTTGTGTCACTTTCGTGACTAAATTCTAGTATTGCGCCATTTCTGGGCTTGATGCTTCCATCCGGTTCCGACCGCTCGTCATGTACCGTTGTTAGCTGTTCGTTTCTTTCCTCTTCTTATCTGGTGTCTCCTCTTGGTGGCATCTCTCTCTAATTTGGCCAGGCGTATCTCGTAGGAGAGCGAGCTTTTTCACACAACGTCCTTTGGACCACCATTTATGGTTTCAAAATTTTGAGTATTTTACTTTGTCATAAAGTACTGAAAACAGTTTTTGATTTTGGATAGTTTCGAAATGTAAAAATTTTCCGCGTGTGACCATAGTGGTCTTATAGTTGTCTTCCTGTAATAAGAACTGGCTAGTCATGTCATGGATATGTGTGTGAAAGGTTGTGTGGAGCCTTAAGCGGATCCAGTCGTCATTTGTTAGTGTGTGATCCGGTTGTGTCGGTTTGGGTTGACAGCTAAGCTCCGGTGTATGTAAATACCATATACCCGAGCATCCAGATAAAAGCTGGATGTCATCCAAAAATAACAATAAATGATGAAAAAATTGAAAATGTCACAAACTTTGAATATCTAGGCTCTATAATAAACAGCAATGCAGACTGTTCAACAGAAATTAAAAGGAGGATGGCCATAGCAATGCAAAGATTGAACAGCCTTAAAAGTGTATAGTTAAGCACCAGCAAGGAGATAAAAATTAGAATTTTGAGAGCATGCATCTTTCCTGTGGCTACATACGGACGTGAGTCGTGAACTATCTCTCAGTCCTTAAGAAAGAGATTAGGGGCTTTTGAGCTGAAATACTATAGAAAGATTCTCAGAATATCTTGGACAAAGAAGAGGAGAAATATTTACATCTTTAAAGATCTAAACATCAGGGAAGATTGGCTTATAAACAGCATCCTTTCACGGAAGCTGAAGTGTTTTGGTCACATCAAGCGCCACAACGGATTGGAAAAAACTATAGCAGAAGGTATGGTACTAGGAAGGAGGGGCAGGGACCGACCAACACGTAGATGGGCACAGGATATAAGTGACTCTTTGAGTATGAAAGTACATGAGGCAGGAGAACTGGCGAGAGACCGAGTTTCTTTCAGGCAGACTGTGATGAAAGCGACGTTCTGCAAAGGACCTGCTTCATGATGATGATGACTGGCACCATTAGTACTGAAACTCTTCGCTGGCTGCTGAAGATGGGGACGGAGCGTTTATGGGAATGCCCCGAGTGTTGTGATGTCGGTTCTTGAATCAAATCAAATCAAATCAGAGTGCTATGATGTTCTTGACTTAACTTAGTACTGAACTGACATAGCATAGCGTTCACCTTGAGGAAACATACAGTAAAAAATAAATATGCGCATGTTGCAACGATAAGTTTGAAAGAACACAGGCGCACAGTAAATCATGACAGATGAACCCAACTTACCGAGCTCACATGTAAAAAGCTACAGGAAACCGAGAAAGAAGGAAAGCAGGTAAACAATTTCAATAAAAGTGCTGTTTATTCTGCCCAAGCCTGTTTCCACATCCCAAAAATGTGAAACCTGTGTTAACATTACGGTGCCAGAGAGGCCATCTTTTTGAAAAGGCTTGGAAAACATTTTATTTTCAATGCGAAAACTCTGAGAACAAAATTCTGGGTTTTTCCTTGGTAGGACTGCCGTCTGCTAAAATTTAAAGGTTCGAAATTACTGAAAAGCATTCAACAGGATAGTCTGTACATGTATATGTAGTATATAATTTTACATACTCGCACTTACATTGACACACTGCATTCAAACGTATAAATACACATACATTTTTGCGCGCGCGCGCGCGTGCACACACACACACACACACATACACACATACACACGTACACACACACACACGAGTTTACCATCATCCTCATTCTATCGGCATCTTTTTTTTTTTTTTTTTTGGGGGGGGGGGGGGGGGGGGGGGGTCTAATAACTGATTATGCAACCAGCTATCCTAATAATTTTTGCTATTTCTGCACTTTTCTTGAATTCTTCGTCGTCGTCGTCTTCTTCTTCTTCTTCTTCTTCTTCTTCTTCTTCTTCTTCTTCTTCTTCTTCTTCTTCTTCTTCTTCTTCTTCTTCTTCTTCTTCTTCTTCTTCTTCTTCTTCTCCTTCTTTTTCTTTTTCTTATTTTCTTTTTTTTTAATCTTCTTCTCGATCTTTATTTTTCTTCTTCTTCTTCTTCTTCTTCTTCTTCTTCTTCTTCTTCTTCTTCTTCTTCTTCTTCTTCTTCTTCTTCTTCTTCTTCTTCTTCTTCTTCTTCTTCCTCTTCTTCTGCTTCTTCTCTTTCTTTTTGTTCTTCTATTTCTTCTTCTCCTTTTTCTTCGTCTCTTATCAAGTCTATTCTGCTTTTCAGTACTATGTTTTTAATAAGTATCGGATGCGAGCCCTGATATGTGCTACGTAGATGCAAGTATTTACGTTGTCAAAAGCTGACTCGATCTATCTCTAGGTCTTCTTTCGTTATGTCGAAGTGACAGGGCTCTCTGTTGTGTGTAGTCTGGTGGTAGTTTTGGGACACATGTCCAGACAGTTTGTTCAGTTTGTTCCCTTGTGTATTGATATGATTAGGATGAAGTTACCACTCAACTTCTTTCCTGATACCCTCAATAAAAACTACGTAACTTATAGAGCTCTATATTTCGTAAAGAAAAAAAAAAATTCCGGGCTCTCCACATGATATTCGTAAGGTTAACAATCGACGCATTGTAAAAACTTTTAAAGTGGAGCCCGCATACACACACGTACACATGTACGCACATACACACACGCACATTAATTGCAGACGCTCATTTTACAAATTATATTTATCTTAATATGGAAAAATTATAACTGTGTGCTTATGTATCTACTATTAGGGTAGGGGTTCTAAATCGATGCCCCGCCCAGGCGCTTTGCAGCCGCTTCGAGAAATTAGAATAAAATTGTATGAGATTCAACAGTAAGAAGAAACAAATGTGGTTGTTTGGCCCTGCCGCTTGGGAAACTACGGCTTTTCGGTGGCGAATCTTATGAGAGTGTTTCTGAGAGTGCTGCACTATAACATATGTTCGTCTGTACCGTTAGTTTCCACTGAGACCGTTACTTGCTGGGGCGACATGTTTTGGCAGGGTGAAAATGAACGGCGGGCTCAGGGAACCATATGTTAAAGGCAACTGTTACCAAGGATTTACAAACCGATTATTATTATTGTTATTATGATTATGTTTCATTTTTATGGTGTTTTTACGTCCACGCAGACATTGACAATCTTGGGTCTACGTGCACAACTCGAGTTGCACTGACAGAGAGCTGCTATGTTTAACTGTGTCATCAAAATAGCTTCGTTTCTGATAGTTGTTGGTGCGGCTGTCTACACGATGGAATGGCTGTCTCGAATTTCCCGCCAATTCAAAAAATTTCGATTGGTAGGAGCAGCAGACTTGTCTGGTAGTTATTGTTGTGGTTGTTTTGTAAGAATTGTAAGATTGTTTAATTGCTTTGTCATTGTGATCATTTGGTGTGACCAGATTTGTCAGTTCTTTGAAGGAAGTGGGTGGTTAGTGTCATTGGTTTGTTTTGCAGCTGGCGGCCCCCTGAAACGATTGTATGTAGCTCGGACATTCTTCTGCTTCCACCGTTATTTCCAAATTGGGCATAGACAGGGCTGCTGAAGTTGATTCTTTTGTACAAATTCGGTACAGTTTGACCCTTGACGAGCAAAACTTTACTTTTGGAGCCACTCCTGATTTTTTGATTAGTTTTAGAAATTTGGCATCAATATTTTGAATTTTGGCATTGCGTTTTTTAAATTTTTTATTTAAGTAATTGTGAATGAGCAGAAAAAAGCGGGATGCAGTTGTTCTTACAAATGCACCTTTTGGCGTGATTGGTCATTAGCGCCTTTTTCCAAACACAAAACAGGTAAAACAAACATCAAAAGTATCTGACTGTACAAAACCTGCATCTACAGACAGAATTTACCTCTGCTTTACAATATTAAGATAAACTTTCTCTCTTCTACTACAAATGTATTGATGAGATCAAAGTGTTTACCCAGGACATTAAATGCATAAACTGAAGCACCACCAGAACTGTGTAACATACCGAGCGAAAACACATGCTACAGCAATGATGAATTCTGATCAAATATACGGTAAAAAGAAAACATTTTAACCGTTATTTAATTAAACAATTATTTGGTACAAATCTCAAAAAAAGATTTCGGCCGCCCTGAATTGGCCCTCAACCAACTCGCGAAACGTCATGTACTTTTACGTCGTTTGCAGTTCGCCTTAAGTCCGTCTCGTCTGTTTTACCTCAATCTACGTTTATTCCAATGCTAATTATTGTAACCCCTGTGTTGTAGTGAAAGGGCAAGGTCATCATGCTTATGTATATTGTTAGCAAGGTTTCTAATGGTGTGTAATATTCAACGCCAGCGTTCATTCCTCTCATTTCTTGATTCACAAAAAGTTGTTATACTAATCTTTCTTGGCACTGTAATATAGTGTGTAAAGCGCCCTGAAACTGTTTATTTTACAACTACGCCATCGGTTAATGTTGAATATTGAAATAATAATCTACATCGTAGCACTCTTGACACTCATATAAGCTCCACATTCACATTTTCAGCAACAAGCGAAGAGTTCTAATTCCGATTGTACCAGTAACTGTCTGATTGTACAATCGTCTCACCCCTCTGTTGAATGTTGGCCAGATCCGATAATAACCTCCAGCAGCGCCCTTATCCCCCCCCCCTCCCCTCTACACCCCCACCGCACATTTTTCAATATTATGTGGGTCAGTTTCAATTACGACATGTCTGTACAGCTGATTCTCATTCCATTGGAAGTCAGCAGTGACCGTCTCCATTTCCATTCTCAAACTATACGTTGTGATATTACATGCAATGTTTTGTAAAAAAAAAAAAGGAAAGATCCCTTTTCATGCCTTTCGGCGCATCGGGCATATGGGTAGAGCGTCCCATATTTTTACAGACCATCAGCACTCTGTGGGTAATGTAGTCAGCATTACGCCGGCTGTCTTTACTTTCCCAGGACAGCCCATCCTGGTTGCCATTTTAACTAAGCGAAGTTAATTCGCTTTTGCTACAAAACTCTCATGCACATCGCAATAGGTTAATGATGACCGGTTGGCATATCATTGGATTTGAGTTTTATTCCTTAGGAAGGCAAGGCGACTTTATATTCGTGCGATGAACATAAGTCTTCATCAGCATCATTATCTGTGGTTTATAATTTGGCCTAATGTGCTTTTGTCTCACTACATAATTTTTTTTTTCTTGTATTCTGGATAAATTATGTTTCTTGTATTTCAACGCGATCGCTTTAGACTATCACCTGTCATGTCTATCGTTTTGTCTGTTGGGGGACATACGAATTTGAGAAAGGCTTAGGTGGGGCTTGGCACCAAAAAGGTTGGGAAGCACTGTGCTAATTACTTTTTCTGTATTCGCAGTAATCATCCCACATCTGTTTTCTCCAAGCTCTTCCTGATTTCTCACAGCGGATTACCTGACACCTGTTCTGAAATGTTTTAAAGACATTCAAGTAAATTTTTTTTAATGTTATTATTTGCTGAAAATCCCCCCATGTGCTGCTATCCCTGACATCAGCAATCTTACTGATTACTTTTAATTTTTGATAATAAATCTTTCTTTGGGAACATGTGCAAAAATAATTGTAAAAATCTGGAGTTTACAATGCCCTGTAAAGGATGACACTGACTTTCAATCATACCTCTCCCCCCCCCCCCCCCTAGTTTTTTCCCAGGACATCTCACCGAGCGACCACAAAGTGCAACCACTCGGAAAAGTATCACCCGGGGAAGGTCCGAGAAACCCCGTTCAACCCATGGGTTGAGTTATACTAGAGCCCAAGTAACAGACAGGGTGGGGTTTTAAAAACAAATTGAGTCCGACTTTCAGACGCAGCACTTATTCACCCAGTAAAGGATATGCACTAACTATAGGGAGAGAAGTCGGCTCTGTGGCTAAGTCGATGCGAACGCTTCGTCATGACGGGATGCCGGGTTCGATCCCAGCTGCGGGCCATGCTCCTCGCGTTGGTTTCGACAGTGGTATCAAGAAAGCCGACCGACCAGAGAGCAATGGCAAACTACTGGACGTAAATTTGCCTTGAAAAACCACACAACAGCCATGGGCTGTTGGGATTGCTTCTGCAACGTCCTTTAAAGGATACGCACCTAACATAAAATGGAGAGAAAACAGTTGAACACAGCTTTAGTTAATAAAATTTCCTATGTGCAGAAAAACGCCTATTCACTTCACTTTCCCTTTACTGGAAGCCGCGTTACCATAGTCGATAGGAGGCTCGCTTTCGAAACTGGGCGGTTTCCCGGGGTTCACCAAGCCTCAAGAAAATGGATACCAGAGTTAACACCCTGGGGTAAATGGAGGGACGTCGCTGTAGTTACGGAGTTGCGTGCGAACGGCGACAGGCGGACAGTTTGGGGAGTCCCCTTGGCGGAGCAGGTAGACGCTCGCTGCGGATCGGAAGGTCGTGGGTTCGCTCCCTGGCGGAGCCAGACTTTTTTAAAAAACCTGGCTCCCAGGTCGATCCAGGGTACCGGCTGCAGTCCCGGGAAAGTAAAGGAGGCCGGCCTGATGCTGACTACATCACCCATATTGTGACGATTGGTCTATACAAAAATAGTTCTAGCCCTATATTCCCTATACGCATAAAGGCGTGGAAACGGGTCCTTTACATTTTTTTTTCACTTTACTAACTTCTCTTCCAAAACAAAATGTTAAGTAGTTAACAATAAGCCAGAAGAAAGCATTAATTTATTTACAGCAAAATTTTAAGAAACATTTAGCAGTAGAGGAAGCGATTTAGTTGTGGATTATTTGAAACAAGCAAAGATCCGAATGAAGCTAGTCAGATCGGTCAAAAGGAACCGATCAACATCGCATAGCCTTAGCTGGGGGAGAGAAGGTGAAACCTAGTGCCTGAAATATTATTAGAGAAGGATAGGGAGAGATAAAACGAAAGAGAGAGAGAGAGAGAGAGAGAGAGAGAGAGAGAGAGAGAGGGGAGAAAGACAGAGTCTGCTGGTATTTAGCAGCATCACTGTCAGTGCATGCTTTGATGTATTGAAATACTGTGTGTGTGTGTAAAAGGGGAGGGGGTGAGAGTGGGGATTGGGGGGAGGGGATCCCATGCTCTTTTTCTGATGTTGGTGCCTGCAGACAAAAACAAATTGTTGAATAAAGAATTGACATCTCGGCTCGCGGGACATTGCTACTAACGTTGTGGCCCCATCTTCAAGAGCAAGCGCCGAGTTTCAGTTTCGATGGCACCGGTAACAGCTTAATTGTTTATACGTCTCGCCTTCCTCCTAAGTGTTGAGCGTCGGTCAGATCTCCCTGTCACTCTTGGCGTACGATTCTCCCCAGACCGTGATGATTTGTGTGAGCCTTCACACGGTCCACTCGCTTACCAAGAATCTTTACAACATCTAGCTTGTCGTGCATCAGTTCACTACCAATCGGTGCAGAACTAGCAAATCTATCTCACTTTTCCTTTCCCAACACACCGGTAGCACCTGCAGAAAACGTCAACAGGACGCTAACTCCTAGGTCTTCGGAAACGATGCTTGTCACTCTGCAGGGAAAATAGCTTTTAACTAAATCGGATGTAGTAGGCCGAAACACACATATATCAAATTCTAGCTGTAAACCACAATCCAAAGTGGCAACCATCATTTAAAGGGCGAACGCGGATAAAGTAGATATCACACTGACTGCGGTTACGCCTCCCTTTGAAATATGAAATAAAAATCCGGTGCCTTGACGTCGATCTTTAGCCTGCACATATTACATAACTATATGTTCTTATTGATAGTTTGGTTGCTTCGGGATATGCCAGTTAAATAATTTTGTGTATTTGTGCTGTTCTATATGATTTACGTATGTGCTGATAAAGGCTTTGTAGCCGCATCTTTCACGTTTCGTTTGTTCTTGTTATATCGTAAAGCATGCTAATCTACTTTTCTTTCGGTTATATATCTTTCATTGAAAGGTTGGAACCGTGACCAGCCTGCACTGCTACCCTGTGGCATCGTGTGCTGGAATGGTCAACAAGAACGCTACATGTACCGTCAGAGGACTGAAGATGGTTGGGGCATATGACACACAGTTCCTTATTGGCAGAGAAACAGACAAGTGTTGGTCAAATGTCTTTCTTTGTTTAGTTACACATCTACAATTACCTTATGGTTGATTTGTTTTAGTTTTCGAATTCACATCGTGTCGCATGATTTGTAATGTTTCATGGTTCCTGTGTCGTTCCAGTGTAAATAAGGTACCATGAAATGTCTTTGGAAGAAAAGGCAGCCTGTGTGATATTTAGGACAGCACTCATCAAGTGCCGATTTGTTTTGCAATGATGGGTCTAATTCCCTATTCATTGCATCACTGGCTTAAAATGGTCCTTAACTCTCACAGTTTTATAGTAGATTTGATTGTTCTTACTATCTTCTTTACATAACCCGGCTTTAAACTCCGGGGGAAAAATTATGTTGTTCGTTCACGTCTTGTTCCAGAACTTGAGGTTTCCGTGCAAATCCGTTTTACACATCTCATTTATTTATATGGAGACTGCTGGTTTCCTGCCTCCCATGCAGATGCACTTTGACTTCGAAAAAAAAAACACTAAATGAAACCCTAATTAGTTTACCCTTACGGCATGTTAGAGGACAGTGGGTGTAGTCTCCCCCCCCCCCCCCCCACAATAGGCCCCTTAAAACTACGCGAAGAATTCTATAGTTGAATTTTTACATATAATGTCGTGCTTCTAGATCTTACAAAGATAAGCGAGACTACACGTACGCTATGTGATAGTGGCATAGTAGGTCGAGCTCCCACAGGATCATCAAAATAATAAAATAAAATAAGACAGCAATATTAGCTCCTATGGGCGTCGTAATATGAGAGCCCAGTTCCCTGAAGCCCACCCCCCCCCCTCCCTTAATTACTCCACCACCCTTCCCAAATTGGGTGGGTGTGGGAGGTGACAACCTTGAGCCCCCCACCCCCTCCCCAATCACTCCACCACCCTTCCCTAATTGGGTGGGTGTGGGAGGTGACAACCCCCCTACCCCAATAATTGTGTAACTCGATTAAGAAAGATGCTTCCTGTCCCCTTTGATCATGTACAGAAATGCTCTTTCAACGTGATTTCTTGTATATTTCATGTTATTTCAAGTATAGTATTATTCATGTTAACTTTTCAGCACAATAATTATGACTCAGAGGAAAGGCAAGACGGACATATAACCAGACTACGAGCGGTACCATTAGCAGTGATACTCTGCGAGGGCTGCTGAGTAGAGGGTCGGAGTCAATATGGAATTGCCCCTAGTGTTGTGATGTCAATTTTTGACTTAACATCTCATTACTAACAATTATTATTTTTATATTAGGAGTCACCATGGTGTAGCGGCTAGAGGCTCGCCTACGTATCAGAATGTCGTGGGTACAGGTCATGGCAGAGCCGGGCCTGACTTTCTTTCAAAAATGACCTTCTTTGCCAGGTCGACCTAGTTTTATATGGGTACTAGGTAGAATCATGGGAAGTAAAGGCGGTTATTGTGATGTTCACTACATCACCCGTCAAGTGGCGATTGGTCTATAACAGTGGTTTCCAACATTTTTTTTTAAGGAGATGGCCTCCTTGAATACATGGTAAAAAAACCATCCCAAAAGATAACACAATATGACCAAAACGATAAGGAATATGTTCTCAATCTATAGAAAATAGATTATTAATGAGAAAAGTTCCAATATCTTCTAGAAACATTTGCGCTCTTGGCCTCCAATTGTGTTAACAGTTTACATTTTATTTTAAACATTAATTGTGGCGTGAACAAATTAGTGTAGCGGATGACTGCAAGTAGAACAGCGCTCATTTTCACAACTGACGAATTTTACAGCTGAAGGGTCATAACAGGTTCTAGTTGATTTATTCGCCATTCCTAAACCACTGAATAAATGCCACTATATGTTTATGTGTAGTTAGCGAAACGCCTACTGATGAAAACAATGAACGACGTCGCTATGGCAATCGTTTTTTGTTTTTCTTTTTCTTTTTGAAACCAGCCAATCGCAGGCAGATTTTGAAATCGCCTACGTGTGCCCGTCTTGAATTTCTTCTCAATATTGTGTCGAAGATATTCTCTGGTCACTGTTGGCCGCCCTATTTTCTCCACAAAGAAATGATCTATTTCGGCTTCTGCATCCTTCAGCTGCTCTAAACATTCAGCTTGCCATACATCAAGTCACCACCCAGTGATGCAGCATTAACCAGCACGTCTGACTATTTATTTCTCAACACAACAGCATTCCCTGCAGAAAATATCCCAAGGACGCTAAGTATCTGGGACATCTAGAGCGATACTTGCCCTTCTGAACGCAGCATACCTTTCTCGATCTTTCTCATCATTCTTTATGAGTCTATTACAATCGCAACGTGTGTATCTGATGTTGGAAATCCACTGAGGCCAACCTTCATTGTGGAAACGGTATTTGACTGACTTATCTCAACAAAACGACAGTTTATGACAACTGTGACCTATGATGATATTAACTAAGTACGTATATCTATCAAGCCGTAAAGAGTTAAAGTAGTTCCTAGGGACCTATAACTCTGTCTGTATTGTATGTGTGTATATGCTTAACGAGGACGAAATAGAAATTTGCTCTCTACCTTCAGCGTTCGCTGTTATGTCACCCCAAGGAACCATCAAACAGTATTTCTGCTCGCCCATGCGCCAGATTAAAGCACTTTGTAACGGTCGGGATCTCTTGCTGTCGTCAATTGAAGGTGATGATTTCACGTAAGTATGACAATATGTCAGTGTTTTAATTATAGTGTCCTGTAAGTATGGCAGTATTTCAGTGTTTTAATGATAACATCACGTAATGTTTCAGTGTTTAAATAATACACTCACGTAAGTATGACAATGTTTCAGATTTCAATTATAACATCACGTAAGTATGACTTTGTTTCAGTCTTTCAAATTTAACATCACGTAAGTATGACAAAGTTTCAGTGTTTCACGTAAATATAGTCAATTTCGATTCTTCAATGATAATAGACAATATTTTAGTTTATGTGGTGCCTTCGCGTAAGTATGGGCATTTTAAGTTCCTCAAAGACACCTTCACGTAAGTATGGGCATTAAAGGTTATTCAAAGACACCTTCACGTAACTATAGGCATTTCATGTTCTTCAACGAAACCTTCACGTAAATATGGACACTTTAAGTTCTTGAACGACACCTTCACGTCAGTATGAGAACTGTAAGTTCTTCAACGAAACCTTCACTTTAGTATGGGTACTTTAAGTTTTTTAACGAAACCTTCACGTAAGTAGGGGCACTTTGAGTTCTTTAACGAAACCTTCACTTAAGTATGGGCACTTTAAGTTCTTTAAAGAAACCTTCACGTAAGTATGGGCACTTTAAGTTCTTTAACGAAACCTTCACTTAAGTATGGGCACTTTAAGTTCTTCAACGAAACCTTCACTTAAGTATGGGCACTTTGAGTTCTTTAACGAAACCTTCACGTAAGTATGGGCACTTTAAGTTCTTTAACGAAACCTTCACGTAAGTTTGGGTACTTTAAGTTCTTCAACGAAACCTTCACGTAAGTATGGGCACTTTAAGTTCTTCAACGAAACCTTCACGTAAGTCTGACAATAATATATTTCAGTGTTTAATGATACTTTCACATTAATATGGAAACATTAAACAGTTTCAATAATGCTCTCACGTAAGCTTGGCAATATTTTACTTGTTCAAAGATAAGCTCAGGTAGGTGTGGCAATTTTTTACTTGTTCAAAGATATACTCAGTTAAGAATGGCAATATCTTACTTGTTCAAAGATTAGCTCAGGTAAGAATGGCAATATTTTACGTTTTCAAAGATAAGCTTAAGTGAGAATGGCGATATTTTACTTGTTCAAAGAAGCTCAGGTTGGTATGGCAATATTTTACTCGTTCAAAGATAAGCTCGGGTAAGTATGGCAATATTTTACCCTGTTCAAAGATAAGCTCAGGTAAGAATGGCAATATTTTACCCTGTTCAAAGATAAGCTCAGGTAAGAATGGCAATATTTTACCCTGTTCAAAGATAAGCTCAGGTAAGAATGGCAATATTTTACCCTGTTCAAAGATAAGCTCGGGTAAGAATGGCAATATTTTACCCTGTTCAAAGATAAGCTAGGGTATGCATGGCAATATTTTACGCTGTTCAAAGATAAGCTCGGGTAAGAATGGCAATATTTTACCCTGTTCAAAGATAAGCTCAGGTAAGAATGGCAATATTTTACCCTGTTCAAAGATAAGCTCGGGTAAGAATGGCAATATTTTACCCTGTTCAAAGATAAGCTCAGGTAAGAATGGCAATATTTTACCCTGTTCAAAGATAAGCTCAGGTAAGAATGGCAATATTTTACCCTGTTCAAAGATAAGCTCAGGTAAGAATGACAATATTTTACCCTGTTCAAAGATAAGCTCGGGTAAGAATGGCAATATTTTACCCTGTTCAAAGATAAGCTCAGGTAAGAATGGCAATATTTTACCCTGTTCAAAGATAAGCTCGGGTAAGAATGGCAATATTTTACCCTGTTCAAAGATAAGCTCAGGTAAGTATGGCAATATTTTACCCTGTTCAAAGATAAGCTCAGGTAAGAATGGCAATATTTTACCCTGTTCAAAGATAAGCTCAGGTAAGAATGGCAATATTTTACCCTGTTCAAAGATAAGCTAGGGTATGAATGGCAATATTTTACTTGTTCAAAAATAAGCTCACGTAAATACGGCAATATTTAAGTGTCTCAATAATACTTTCATCTGATTATGGCAATATTTAACTGTTTTAATAATGCTTTCACATAAGTTTGGGAAAATTTGGATTATCAAAGATATTTCAGCTTGTCTGTTCACTTTCCATGTCCCACATGCCATGCATAAACAATACAGGTTCTACAGAACACATTACACTCTTTTCTTTCACAGCAACTAACATCTTCTTATTGGTAAGAACCTTTTGTATTTTGATGTTATGAGAGTTCCAAGATAGTTATATAACTTGCCTACGTCCCCGTGTGGATTCCGGGCCCCATTGTGGGGCGAGCAGGAAATCGCGATGTTTCAGTATTTCAATATTTTAGTGATGTTTTCACATGACAACATTTTCGTTTCAATAATAAGTTCACTTGGCAAAACTACAGAATTTCGTTGGTACTTTCATATAGGTAATGGCAATAATTCACTTAGCCCATAATACCTTTACACAAGTATAGCCACATGTCCGTGTTTCATTGATGCGTGCACGTAAGTATAGCAACCTATTTGTGTTTTATTGAAGCGTTTACGTAAGTATAGCAACCTATCTGTGTTTTATTCATGCGTTCACGTAAGTATAGCAACCTATCTGTGTTTTATTGATGCGTGCACGTAAGTATAGCAACATATCTGTGTTTTATTCATGCGTTCACGTAAGTATAGCAACCTATCTGTGTTTTATTGATGCGTGCACGTAAGTATAGCAACATATCTGTGTTTTTTGTGTGTGTATGCGTTCACGTAAGTATAGCAACCTATACGTGTTTCAATTATGCGTTCACGTAAGTTAGCAACCTATCTGTGTTTTATTGAAGCGTTCACGTAAGTATAACAACATGTCCATGTTTTAATGATGCGTTCACATAAGTATAACAACATTAGTCTGACTGAGATTTTATTTTTTGCCTGCAACGGAAAAAATATCCGCAACCTCACCCAGGATATGAACCTGGATTTCCCGTATGAGAGCGCAGAGTTCTTAGCCATTTGACCAGCTGCTCCCTATTACGATAAAATTATCATATGGTAAATGACCAGTATTTTAATTATTATGGTTCGGCAGGGTATCACAATGAAGATAGTTAGTAAAATAAGTCAAGAACTATTATCCGATCGTCCCCTGTATGTGTCTCCAAGGATAACAACTCCCATTGTTCCTGGTTGATGTAACGACGAGTGGCTCGTGCCTGGTTTTCCTGTCTTGCTGCTCCTATTGTTACACCCAGAGTATGCAGTCTACTCAGTGAAAAATCATTTTCTACGAAACTAAAAGCCTCACAGCGTCTAGTATCTTGTATGGCAAAAATTATGTCTCTCCTGTCCAAAGATAGTCCATTCCTGATAGTTTCATTACCAGCCGGAGCGTCTGCTCTGTCACTGCCTTTCACACCAATATTGCATAGGCCAGAAAAGAAGGTGATTTTGCGAAACGTTGCGTGCTGTACTAGATGGAGCCACTGCTTCGGTATGTACCCAGACTTGATCACGTGTCGCATGCTTATTGAATCGCTGAGCAAACATGCATTGGTGAATTTCTGAGTTTTCAGCCATTATAGGGTCTTTGTCACCGCTTTCATAAAATGATGTTGTTAAAATCACGCCTTTTGCCTTTACGGACTTTTTAGGGCGCCCATAATATACCTGAGACCTTAAACAGTAAAGTAAAGGACCCTTGTCCACTCTGTCAGGCGTCGTTGGCATATAGGGCTAGACCTATAATTTACAGATCAGCCGCACTCGCTGGGTGATGCGGTCAGCATTACGTGGCAACCGCAACTTCCCACGGCTTTCATGGCGCCCATAATATTCCTGAGACCTTAAACAGTAAAGTAAAGGACCCTTGTCCACTCCGTCAGGCGTCGTTGGCATATAGGGCTAGACCTATAATTTACAGATCAGCCGCACTCGCTGGGTGATGCGGTCAGCATTACGTGGCAACCGCAACTTCCCATGGCTTTCATGGTCTCCATTTAAGGTTGGGTCGACCTGGTAGCCAATGTCTATTTAAAAATAAATGTCCAGCTCCGTCAGGACCTGAACACACGACCCTCCGTCCCCAGGCAAGCCTTTAGCCGCTTCACCACAGAGGCTCCTGTCTGAGAGCTGAGGTCAGTAATAAAATATCAATGTGTATAATAGTGAAGAGGGTAGCCAATTTATCGTCTCTATATTCACCCTTCTGACCCAAAAATCGTGCTCATAAATGGTAGCCAGTTTCGCTGATGATACATTGATAAATGTTGTACTGACCTATTAAACAATTTCATTCCCAGCAAATTACCGTTACAAAAGGAGGAAGGGAAAAAAGTGACATTATTACAACTGTACCGGGCGGAGAACATCGAGGCCGTCATCGATCTTGGTAATGTGGAGGGTCTTCGTCTATTTAACCTTGATCAGACCAGGCATACAAGCCGTGCCATACCTAGCTGACTACCTTAATCCACCCACTCGAACATATACACACAAGCAACATTGCCAATCACATACACACAGATACGTACCCATATATACGTTCACACTCATATTCGTACTCACATACACTTACATATATAAATAATTACATACATACATAAATTCATGCATACACACATACTTGCATGCATACATACATACATACATACATACATACATACATACATACATACATACATACATACATACATACATACATACATACATACATACATACATACATACATACATACATACATACATACATACATACATACATACATACATACACACACACACACACACACACACACACACACACACACACACACACACATACATACATACATACATACATACATACATACATACATACATACATACATACATACATACATACATACATACATACATACATACATACATACATACATACATACATACATACATACATACATACATACATACATACATACATACATACATACATACATACATACATACATACATACATACATACATACATACATACATACATACATACATACATACATACATATACATACATACATACATACATACATACATACATACAGACAGACAGACAGACAGACAGACAGACAGACAGACAGACAGACAGACAGACAGACAGACAGACAGACAGACAGACAGACAGACAGACAGACAGACAGACAGACAGACAGACAGACAGACAGACAGACAGACAGACAGACAGACAGACAGACAGACAGACAGACAGACAGACAGACAGACAGACATAAATAATACATAGATACATACATACAAACAAACAGACAGACAGACAGACAGACAGACAGACAGACAGACAGACAGACAGACAGACAGACAGACAGACAGACAGACAGACAGACAGACAGACAGACAGACATAGATACATACATACATACAGACATACAGACAGACAGACAGACAGACAGACAGACAGACAGACAGACAGACAGACAGACAGACAGACAGACAGACAGACAGACAGACAGACAGACAGACAGACAGACAGACAGACAGACAGACAGACAGACAGACAGACAGACATATAATTATAGATAATACAGTGTGTTGGTAGAATGTTCATGTTGGACAAATAACTTGAACGCTTCAGTAAAAAAGGAAATGAAATAAACACTTAAAGCGTGACATTTTGAACATCTTTTGTACTTGTTCAGCTACATACAAATAATAAATGCAGCAAAACAAAAATTCAAAGCACCTTTTCTTAGCCAGTGGCTCAGTGGGCATATATGCTGGTCTTCTATTCATGTACCTGGATTTTTATCGTGGTATAGGACGACGCAGGTCGACCCAGCCTCAAATGGGTACCAGGATGGGCTGTCCTGGGAAAGTAAAGACGGCCGGCGTAATGCTGACCACATTACCCACCGAGTGCCGATTGGTCTGTAAAAATATGGGTGCTTTTCGCATATGCCCGATGCGCCTAAGGGCGTGGAAAGGGATCTTGACTTTTTTTTTAATCTATTTATGTAGACAAATGATAGCACTTGATAAATGATATGATCAGTATCAAGCTAGCAATTTTTTACTTTCCATGACATTGTCTGAAACCCAATTTAATCTGGATTAACCTTGAAGCCAAAGCTTTTCCTCAAAAATATGTCAGGACAGATTTTGACTCAATTCCTTCAGATCAGTCGTCATCACATCATCATCATCATCATGTGCCTTGCCAACTGGCGTAGGCGCTCATACATCTCCACAGATCACCATTCCTTTTTGCCTGGATCAGCTCTCTTGATGATATCCCCCCTTGCCATCGTTTCAGCCCAACCAGCATCATCTCTCTTGGTCTGCTTCTACCTTCTTTCCATTGATCTTTTCTGTTTTCACAATGTTTTCCAATGCCTCTCTTCTTATTACGTGGACAAAGAACAGTGTTTGTCACCTTATTGTTGTGTATAGATATCTACTGTCTTAAGCTTCTTTCAAACAATCGTTGTCAGTTACTCTGACCGTCCTAGGTATTCGTAACATTTGTCTCAAAAACCACTTCTCTGATGCGTCCAAATTCTTCCTAATTTTCACACCAGTAAACAAATGAAAATGTTTCATACTATCCGTACATGTTATTTACTTTTCTAACCCCCTCAAAATGAGACAATTTACATTCTTTGGTCATCTCATGACAAGAAAAGCATTGGAGTACATTGTGGCAATAGAAAAGTTAGAGGGAAAATATGCACAGGGAGACTAAGAGAGAAGATGCTGAACAGTCTGACATCGTGACATAGAAGATCATCTGTGTAAGAACTGACTGGAAGTACGAGGGACATAAAGTTTTGGATTACATGACAACCAACACCACACGGCATGGACTGTAAGAAGGACACCCTCTATAGTGCATTTCAAAACTCACGCCGTCACACTTTAACAAATATTTCGAAAACTCCTGTATGGATCAACAGGCATTTTTGCATGAGGTCTAAGATTTCCTCTGTCCTTATGATTCTACAGTGTGTAATTGTGCAGATGCTGTTGTTTTCCTAAAGCGCCGAATTTCTTTCATCTTTGTATGACTAATAATTTCTGCACTACTGAAAAAAATAATATTTGGTAATTCACACACGTGTGGAGATTGTCTGAAAATCAGTTTACGTGTGCAGCTATGACTGGTGACGATTTTGATAGCCTATTTCCCACTTAATAAAAAATCCGCAACTCATCGTAGACTTATGGTGGAGATGACCATGCTAGAGTTAAACTCATTTGATAGGAGTGCAGTTTTATGTTTTGAAAAGTTCCACTTATTCAATTTACTCGACTTACTCTAAGCATGCTAATTGTTTACTTTGAATAGGTTTTGTTTACATACCGTAAATAGGGCCAAAGGAAAACTAAATGTTTGTTTTTATTTTTTTTGAACATTCTTACAAGGACATGATTATTAACAGGCTCAGTCAGTAGCATGTGCTTTGTAGAACCTTGCACCCATAACAACCCTCCCGAAAAGTTCTCGATCACAAGTAAGATATCCCGCGTCCGATACACCCATCTGGAGATCATCTACTACATCCTGAACCCATCTTTTCTTTGGCCTTTCTCTTCCTCTCTTCCCAGGCATATACCCCTCCATTATTGTTCTCTCCCAACTTTCGTGACGTTTCAAGTGACCACAAGATTTTAACTCTCTGTGTTTTATTGTCTTTAAAAGCCAACCTTCTTAAATACTCAGTTCTTGAAGTATGGATGCATTTGTTCTTTTATTTTTACCCATGATATTCTTATAACCTGTCCATAACATTTGTATTCAAAGGCTTTTCTGAGTTATTCACATGCTAGACGTAAATTTTCAACAACTTACACAGAACGGTTACTGGATTACCGATTTATAAAGTTTGGCTAGACTTCTGTAACAGACTATAATAATTTGCATTGCTTGAAGGAAAGTGAGTTACTCGGTGCTACATTTTTGTGCAGGTGATCGTATGGCTAAGTGGTTAAACGATACGCTGCAAGTTGATAAACTTCGACTCTATGAAGTGGTGTCTGAGGTTATGTGTGTGACCCCTGGCAGAAGCACTTTTGGCAACTACGTATTCGCTATACAGGACAGCATTGACTATATAAACAGAATAGTAAGTAAGACTTCTGTGCACGTATTCGCCATTATAAACATGGACTTTTGTCTGCGTCTTCAGACGTATTGAGCAGATAGTGTTAGACCTATACTTTACCGGGAGCCGCTGTGGTATAGCGACGAGACGTTTGATTCTGGATCCGACAGTCAAGGGTTTAAATCCGAATGGAGCTGGACTTAGTTTTTCCCCTTTAAAAATGATCTTAGTTCCCGGGTCGACCCTCCTCTTTCACCTTCCCCTTTAATGCGCACAATGTGAGGTCCTCAGAAGTAAAGGTGGCCGGCGTGATGTTCACGCTGATCGTCTTAGCCTCCTATGAATTTACCTGGTACCCGTTTAAGACTTGGTCGACCTGGGAACCAAGGTCATTTTTAGAAGTAAAAAAAAAGGTTCCGGCTCCGTTCGGATTTGAACCCACGACGGTCTGATCCGCAGGCGGGTGTCTTGCCGTTTCACCACGGCGGCCCGCTTTTATCACCACCCCTTCAGTATTAGATTATTGTAGTGAACCTTTAGTAATGTTCTGCCCAAGATATGCTACTGTACTTCTACATTCCTTCAGCGTGCCGTTGAAAATTGTTTCACGTGCTGAGCTTGGAGAGCCTGCCACACACTGCTGACACCTGACACAGAATGTGTGCCACCTTTAAGTAGCACATGCTTTTTAACTCTTACAGAACCAGATAACTAAGTGTGCGTTCATTGGCTACTATTTACATCAGCGTTTCCAAACTGTGGACGAGTTCATTTTCGAATTTCCCCCCTTAACAATCAAATTACCCCCTTTAACAATCGAAAAGCCACCACATGTGAGGCTAGGCCCCCACGTTGGGAAACAATGCTTTGCCTCGTAGATATCTCTTTTCTGAACCTATGTGGTCTGACATTGGTCGTTCATTGACTCATAATGTATAAAACTAAAGTTCAATAGTCAATTACCATCATAATTCTCAAGGCTTACATTCTTACGTCCTTTTTAGGACGTAAACTTTTGTTTTTTGAAGCCCCACTCTGGCTTTTGCCAGGGGCCGCAATATAGGCAGGCCATAAATATGGCTAATTGTCTGAACGCGGTTTCTGGGACCTCTCCACGGTGATCCTCATCCACATGGTGGCACATTGTGTCATCGGGTGTTTATCGCTTGTGTGATGTCCTAGTGGGGTAGAAAGTCAGTCAGTCAGTCTCAAGGCTCAAAATGTTTACTTCTACGTGCGACGACTTTAGAGATGTATTAGATTAACAATAGTCCAGGGCCGAAAGAGTTCAGAATTATATAGGATGATGAGAATATCTTTTCACCCCATGATGCTTAACGATATGACGACAATGACGATGAAAACGATGGAGACGATGATGATGATGAATTTACACTGAAAATTCTGCCTAATTGTGTCTGTGAAAAATTCAATGACTTCTTCATACAGTCTATGCTGGGTGGCGTTGGTAGTCAGGTCTATTTACTACTTTCTGTCTCGTATTGGTAGTCACGTCCATTTAACACCTTCTGTCTCGTATTGGTATTCACGTCCATCTACCACCTTCTGTCTCGTATTGGTAGTTACGTCAATCTACCATCATTTGTCTCGTGTTGGTGATCACGTCCATCTACCACCTTCTGTCTCGTGTTGGTAGTCACGTCCATCTACCACCTTCAGTTTCCTGTTGGTAGTCACGTTCATCTATCATCATTTGTCTCGTGTTGGTAGTCACGTCCATCTACCACCTTCTGTCTCGTGTTGGTAGTCACGTCCATCTACCACCTTCAGTCTCCTCTTGGTAGTCACGTCCATCTACCACCTTCTGTCTCGTGTTGGTAGTCACGCCCATCTACCACCTTTAGTCTCCTCTTGGTAGTCACGTCCATCTACCCCTTCTGTCTCCTGTTAGTAGTCACGTCCATCTACCACCTTCTGTCTTGTGCTGGTAGTCGCGTCCATCTACCACCTTCTGTCTCGTGTTGGTAGCCACGTCCATCTACCACCTTCTGTCTCGTGTTGGTAGTCACGTTCATCTATCATCATTTGTCTCGTGTTGGTAGTCACGTCCATCTACCATCTTCTGTCTCGTGTTGGTAGTCACGTCCATCTACCACCTTCTGTCTCGGGTTGGTAGTCACGTCCATCTACCACCTTCAGTCTCCTATTGGTAGTCACGTCCATTTACCACCTTCTGTCTCGTGTTGGTAGTCACGTCCATCTATCACCTTCAGTCTCCTCTTGGTAGTCACGTCCATCTACCCCTTCTGTCTCCTGTTAGTAGTCACGTCCATCTATCACCTTCTGTCTCGTGTTGGTAGTCGCGTCCATCTACCACCTTCTGTCTCGTGTTGGTAGTCGCGCCCATCTACCACCTTCTGTCTCGTGTTGGTAGCCACGTCCATCTACCACCTTATGTCTCGTGTTGGTAGTCACGTCAATCTACCACCTTTTCGAGTACTTTCAATCAAGTCTGACACAGATGATCCTCTATGCAGTGACGACAAACAGTCCAGTATCTCGTCTCTCGGTCTTCCTCTGCCTCTGCTCCCCTGCAACTTTCCTACTGTCACGATGTATTCCAGATTTCTCCTTCTCATCACATGACCAAAGAATGCAGATTGTCTTTTTCTGATAACTGCAATCAGTTATCTTTGTTAGTCAGTTTCTTACAAAACATCCTCACTACTCTTTTTTATCTGTCCATCGTATTCTTATCATTCGTCTGTAAAGAATGTTACATGAATTACCATTAATTGTGTTTGTTAAACTATTCTAATATTATAATGAATAATGATCATATAATGACCCAGTTATCCGTTTTGAATTGGATTTATGATATACTAATCGCGTCCATTTAACATTTCTTCAATATTTTTTTTTTTTTCGATTACCCTGCCTATGATACGGAATACTGAGTTGTATTTGTTAATATGTATTTGTAAAATATCCCCTGATACGGAATGGTGATTTATATTTTGTAGGATGTATTTGTGAAGTATTCTCCTTTGTGTTGCTGGACTCATTTTGGAAAAAAAAAAGACCGACTGAGCCCCTATCAAGCATGTCGTAAAAGGGGACTAATTATGTGTGTTTCCTTCAAAGTCGGAGTGCAAATCCTTGAGAGTAGAGGAACGAGCTGTATGCATACAAATAAGCCAATTCTCTTAAACAGATGTGATCGCAGAAATTAAGTTCTGAGACAAGACTGAAGTCCAAAAGTGGGCGAACAACCAGAAATTGCCACTAAAGTTTATAGCTTGTTGTCACTAAGAAAGGACAAAAATGATTTATGAAATATTCCCTGAACTTACTGCTGAACTGTGCCTCTTGAACTGTCCGGATAAATATTGTAAAACATGTTTGTGAAATTCTCCTTAACATTTATGCTGGGGTTTACTTGTGAAACTCCATTGACATCTCAGCGGAATGTTCACACAGATCTCTGTTGAACCGAAGCTATCAGCCACCTATTTCCGACCCAACATTGTGTTGACCGGCTGTAGTCCGCTAGAAGAGACGAAATGGTCCTATATCCAGATTGGAAATGTCTGCTTCAAAGTTTCCGGCCCCGACTGCAGGTTTGTCTAGGAAAAGGCTAGATAAAGAGAAAGAACGGGAGAGGGAGAGTGTCTTTTAAAAGAGAAGGGAACGTCTATGAACGGGGAAAGATATACAGTAGACTATATGTAGATGTAGAATGGACAGAAGGGTTATGTGTGCGGGAGGAGACGTTGTGAGGATGTAAGAGACAATGACCTACTAGAGAGGGAGAAAAATGTAGTAAAAGGAAGGAAGAGATCTCGATGATGGGAGAGCGACATATAATAGTTGCAAGAGATAAGCGTATTGAACGTGGGGGGTGTAGAAAGTAAACATGACGTCTCATAGAAAAGGAGGTATGCATTAAAGAGAGAGAGAGAGAGAGAGAGAGAGAGAGAGAGAGAGAGAGAGAGAGAGAGAGAGATCCCCACAGTAAAAAAGAGGAGGATACATAGTAGAGCCTATATACACACATATATTGAGTTGTTTGTGTGTATATGTGTGTACGCGTGTATGAGTGTGTGTGCGTGCGTGCGTGCGCGCGTATATGTGTGTGTGTGTGCGTGTGTCTGAAATATAAAGAAAAGGTTAAAACACAAAGTGCACTAAGCAGCCGTTCCAAAATAAGACAAGTCAACAACCTAACTGCACCAGACATGAAAGTAACTTTTCATAACTAATTGCTGCAAACGAAAATGACATTACAAAATGTTGATAGTCTCTAGTTTTTAAGACATACGCTACTGGTTTACTTAATGAGAGCCACATTTTATATATATATATATATATATATATATATATATATATATATATATATATATATATATATAGATAGATAGATAGATAGATAGATAGATAGATAGATAGATAGATAGATAGATAGATAGATAGATAGATAGATAGATAGATAGATAGATAGATAGATAGATAGATAGATAGATAGATAGATAGATAGATAGATAGATAGATAGATAGATAGATAGATAGATAGATAGATAGATAGATAGATAGATAGATAGATAGATAGATAGATAGATAGATAGATAGATAGATAGATAGATAGATAGATAGATAGATAGATAGATAGATAGATAGATAGATAGATAGATAGATAGATAGATAGATAGATAGATAGATAGATAGATAGATAGATAGATAGATAGATAGATAGATAGATAGATAGATAGATAGATAGATAGATAGATAGATAGATAGATAGATAGATAGATAGATAGATAGATAGATAGATAGATAGATAGATAGATAGATAGATAGATAGATAGATTAGATAGATAGATATATAGATAGATAGATAGATAGATAGATAGATAGATAGATAGATAGATAGATAGATAGATAGATAGATAGATAGATAGATAGATAGATAGATAGATAGATAGATAGATAGATAGATAGATAGATAGATAGATAGATAGATAGATAGATAGATAGATAGATAGATAGATAGATAGATAGATAGATAGATAGATAGATAGATAGATAGATAGATAGATAGATAGATAGATAGATAGATAGATAGATAGATAGATAGATAGATAGATAGATAGATAACTAGATAGACAGACAGACAGACAGACAGACAGACAGACAGACAGACAGACAGACAGACAGACAGACAGACAGACAGACAGACAGACAGACAGACAGACAGACAGACAGACAGACAGACAGACAGACAGACAGATAGATAGATAGATAGATAGATAGATAGATAGATAGATAGATAGATAGATAGATAGATAGATAGATAGATAGATAGATAGATAGATAGATAGATAGATAGATAGATAGATAGATAGATAGATAGATAGATAGATAGATAGATAGATAGATAGATAGATAGATAGATAGATAGATAGATAGATAGATAGATAGATAGATAGATAGATAGATAGATAGATAGATAGATAGATAGATAGATAGATAGATAGATAGATAGATAGATAGATAGATAGATAGATAGATAGATAGATAGATAGATAGATAGATAGATAGATAGATAGACAGACAGACAGACAGACAGACAGACAGACAGACAGACAGACAGACAGACAGACAGACAGACAGACAGACAGACAGACAGACAGACAGACAGACAGACAGACAGACAGACAGACAGACAGACAGACAGACAGACAGACAGACAGACAGACAGACAGACAGACAGACAGACAGACAGACAGACTATATATATATATAACGCAACTGTTGTGGCCGGTTGCATAATTGTTTAATTCTAATAACTAATAAAACTGTAGCCAATAGTTGAAGATGCAGTCCTACCCATGATTACATCACCTTTGTGTAAAAATATCGTATCTGACAAAATTTTGCCATTATTAGCTAGTGTCTTTGTCTTTATTAATACTATTATATTTAGAAATGCCTAGGGTGTGTGTGTGAACAGTGCTGGTAAATTCTGTACATGTATGTGGTGAGGTGACATTTCTCTCACAAAAACGAAACATAACTAATGGGATTAAAAAGGCGTGCAGTGTATAGTTTAGCTGCAGAACAGCAGATTGAGATTAGATCGGGGCGCCACACATATGCTGCAATTCCTAAAGTACTGATGACTGGCAAAGGGGCAAGCTATGTCTTTTACAATCCCAATAATTTTCTAAGAGACCACTGATCATCTCAAAAACTGTAACTTTTGCATGGTCCCTCCAAAGAGGAAGACACGGACTCTTGAGTATCCTAACACCCCCTCTGTAAAACGTCTGGTACCACATGACGATGACCTGCAAGTACCCAAAGAGCCAGAATTGTTTTCGACTACTTCCACTGATGAAAAAGGACCACCAACCTAAAGCGACCCAGATTTTGAGCAAACTACATCCACTAAACCAGACTTTTTTTTTTTTAGTCCCCTTTAAGTAAACTGAATGATCTTGTAAGAGATTTGAATTTTCCTAAAGAATAAAGAGGTGCTTCTGGGGTCGAAATCCCAGAAGTGGAATCATCTGGCAGAAGATATTAGAATTTCTGTGTATAGGAACCGACAGAAGCCGCTTTATGTATATATATATATATATATATAGAGAGAGAGAGAGAGAGAGAGAGAGAGACTTTTTTGCATGCCACAACATTTCTAGGCTAATGACAGCCCTATAAATCAATTATAAACCGGATGTAATTGCTGTTTATCCACTTGTGGACTTTATTTTTGTTCCAGAACCTAAGTTTTGCGTAAACATCCGTTTTACAAATCTGGCTTAGGTATATACTGGCTGTTGGTTCCTTGCCACTCACGAAAGAAACATCCAAAATTAGTCACATTTTACAACGTGTTTGTTAGGGGCAGCAGGCCTAATTCCCCCCCCCCCCCCCCCCAATTTCCTCACCGGGGCCCTGGAACCAACACGCGGACACTTTACGATTAAGAAGTAACATTTCAATTATAATTTTTACCTGTCGTCTCTTACAGAATCATTTCAGACCGCAACAGCTCAACAAGTATTAACTGGAAACATGCCTGGGAGTTGGCCCCTGAAGTGCCAAACAATGTCAGAGTCATTGATGGCTGCAATATTTCCGTAGACGTCGGGGTCAACGCCACAATTATTGAGGAAGGGGAGATCAGTATAGGAGATCCTGTGTTTGCCTGCTACTAGGCCGTGTCTTGATCATATAGTATATTTTCTCCTCGCCAACATATTTTGACGGGAAGGGATATGTTGAGTAATCTCAAGTAAAAGACACTTTAGTCTTCCGATAATCCATCTCAGATGTCTAAAAATTGGTTTAATTTCTCCATTTGTGATTCATTCTCAAACCTGTAAACTAAGCCTATTCAACTAAGTTCACTCAGGGGCCAAAAATGTTGAAACTATGGATCTTCGCGGGCCACTTACTAGGCCTCCGCTGGCCAGATTACGCCCGTGGGCCATCAGTTTGAATAGTTGCTCTTAAGCTAGGGTTTCCAGCCTTTCTCAGTGGCCCCCTTCTTCAAATTATGGTAAGATCTCCACCCCCATGTTAAAAACATGATTTTTTTTAAAGGGGGTAGGGGGGGGGGCAAGGGGTGGACAAAAGAGAAAAATGCTAAGCACTTTTAACAAGAACTTTGAGAAACACATCCACATTAATCAGTTTTTATCTGACGTAAGAGAAACAGTCATCCACAACTAGCAACTTAGCGTCCATATGGCCGTGTGATGGTACACACTGTATTGTCTTGATGGTCAATGCTACTGTTCGTCCTGATACTCTACAAGGCACAAAAGAACACTGATCACAGACACACCTACCACCTTCCCACCCCAACCCACACCCCACCCCCCAAACACACACACACACACAATGTTAGTATCATCATCATCATCAGGTGCCTTGCAGACTGGCGTAGGCGATCATGCCTCTCCACAATCTGCCATCTCCTGCAGCATGTATCAGTTCGTCTGACGACACACCTCCATGCCATGCAACAAGACTATCAGGTATTTTCTCTCGTTGTCTTCCTCTATCCCTCTTTCCACAGATCTTTCCAGTGATCACAACATGCCTCTTTAAAAACCTCTTGGTTGCTCTTTTTGGCTGTCCGAGGTATTCTAAGCATTCTTCTGTAAAATCACATCTCCGAGGCCTCAGGAAATTGTTTGGCCTGCCTACCGATTGTCCAGGATTCACAGCCATATGTTAAAACTGGATGTATGTAGCAAGCAAGAATTATCTTTCTAACTCTCAATGACAAGGGTATATTGCAGAATGTGTTCTTCATTTTAATGTTAGTATAGCAGATTATTTAATTTTAGACCATCGAAATAAACACCCGATGACACAAAGTGACACAGTTCGGATGAGGATCACACATGGAGAGCTTCCGGACACCCCTTTCAACCGTTAGGTTATATTAGGACCCCTGGCAAACAACCAGAGTGGGGCTTTAGAAAAACGACCAAATACATCCCACTTGGGAACTAGGAGAGCGATCGTGGAGAAACGACACAGAAACACAGAGAACAGTCTGTAAGTAGATCTATACGACTGGTCGATTTGGACGCCGCACTTGATTTCATAGTACAAATATTCGCTACATACATGTACTAGCTGCATATCTTTCACTGCAAACACTTTTTTACTAAACAGTACTTTATTAGAGTTTTAACTGATTATTCTCAAACGTCTATGGCTTCAAATTGTACTTTTATCTGTCTGTTTATAATTCTGAAAGTCCTATCGCTGCAAGCAATCTTCAGACCCCCCCCCTTCCCCCCCTTTCCCCCCCCCCCCTTTTTTTTTCTCCCTAATTTTGGCACACATTTTTCAGCAGAGGTAAGGCAACGTAGTGGATGTTTAGTCTGCTACCTGCTTCGCATCTCGCGCAGGTAAATCAAACCGCCTGCTTTAATTACCCAATTTCCTTTCATTATCCAACAGTCGAGCTTTAATGCATATCAAGGAAGAAAAAAAAAATTTTCTTTAGTGTGTGCGTGTGTATGTAGTATGTATGTGTGTGTGTGTGTGTGTGTGTGTGGGCGCGCGAACATGTGCACTCCTGCTGGGAAATAAAATGGTATACAAACCTAAAACGTTTCTGTTGTCAGGAAACTGTTCTCTTTGAATCCAAAGGAACGTATCATACGTTCAAAGGCTTTCACAGACAAGCCTAGTAAACACAAGATGCGCCGAATTTGCGTCTTTCTTGACTACCGTGGGCCTCTGATGCTAAACTCCCTGGGACTCAAATAGTTATATTATCTGTTGCGCAGATGTTACATATGGCTGTGAATCCTGGACAATCGGTAAGCAGGTCAAACAATTTCTTGTGGTTATACAGAAGAATGCTTAGAATACCTTGGACAACCAAAAAGAGCAACCAAGAGGTTTTGAAAGAGGCGGAAGCCCGAAGACAACTTATCACAGACATCAGAAGGAGACAGTCATCATTTTTCAGCCATGTTATGAGAAGAGGGAAAATAAAACATGTTGTGACCACTGGAAAGATCTGTGGAAGGAGACAGTCATCATTTTTCGGCCATGTTTTGAGAAGAGGGCAAATAGAACATGTTGTGACCACTGGAAAGATCTGTGGAAGGAGGGATAGAGGAAGACAACGAGAGAAGATGCTTGACAGTCTTGTTGCATGGCATGGAGGTGTGTCGGCACACAAACTGATACATGCTGCAGGAGATCACAGATTATGGAGAGGCATGATCGCCTACGCCAGTTGGCAAGGCACCTGATTATGATGATGATCTGTTGCGCATGTTTTTTTAACATAAAGTAAATGAAGGTGTAAAAGTGCACGTGGTAAACAGGAAAGTTTCAAGATTTTGGGTTCAGAGGTCTTCGCTGCGTCAGACACACACACACACATCTTTATTACTTGAAACTTGACCTATAAGCAGCAATATATATTACACGTGGTAATGATTTTTCAATACTTATCTCTAAACTTTTGTGGAATATGTGATCTAATTTTTCGCTTCTTTTATTATTATTTTATTTTTATTTATTTTTTTATTTTTCACATTAAATTTTCTGTTTGAAGATTACAAGCTATATTGGCAATTTTGCAATCGGTTTAGCTCTAAAAATTGATTAGGAAAATGTTTTAATATATGTTTAACGTTCGCTTGTTTATCTCCGTGATAGTCTGCAGTAGCTTATTCTCTCTCTCTCTCTCTCTCTCTCTCTCTCTCTCTCTCTCTCTCTCTCTCTCTCTCTCTCTCTCGCTTTCTCTGTGTGTGTGTGTGTTTGTGTGTGTCTTTGTTGTGGTCTAGTTGCATAAGTAATCATTTTCACACCACTTTTGAATCGTGAATACCACCTGAAAATCTGTGCACGAGAGGAACAATTATCCCCATAAACTTATCGCTTCAATTCAACTGTCTCAATGGCGCTGTTTCTGAGTTTTAAAAAGAATTTAATGTTAGCTTTTTGCTCGAAGCTGATTACGTAAAAATACACCTCTGTTGACTTTCTGATCATTCTCTCCATCTTTGGCGGTCAGTTGCGATGGACTTCATGGTTGCATGCCTGAGGCCTGCCCAGTCAGTCAGGTTCTGTAACTAGGACTTTCTTGGTCTGCCTCTTCTCCTCTTTTTCTTTACTAAGCCCCTGCATTGTTGTTTCTGAGAGGCCGTTAGTCTTATTACATAGTCTTATTACATGTCCCTACCCTTTCACTGTAGTTAAAAGAGGTTTATAGTTGCCAATGTGCTGTATAATTGTATGGTGAACTTCTTCGTTTGTAATGTGGTCTCTGTATGATATGCCAAGAATTCTTCCGATACATCGCTTTTATAATGCTTGTATCTTTCTTTCAAGTTCGACTGTTAAGGGTATGTATATATATATATATATATATATATATATATATATATATATATATATATATATATATATATATATATATATATATATATAGATATATATATATATATATATATATATATATATGCACCATAACTCTATCATATATGCCTTATTTTATCAAGTGAAAACTGAAACACTGCTACTTAAAAGCACACATACTTCGTGAAACAAGAAAATAAAAAAGGACCCTTTCATCACATTTGAGCATAAGGCAAAGGGCTCTTGAATATATTTTTTGAAAAGTAGGACACTCGTCCTCTGTGGACGTTATGGTCAACATCGCCTAGCCTACCTTTAAAGTAAAAGTAAAAGTAAAGATCCCTTTACACGTCCTTGGGCGCATGGGGCATATGAGAAGAGCACCCATATTTTACAGACCATCGGCACTCATTGGGTAATGTGGTCAGCATTACGCCGGCCGTCTTTACTTTCACAGGACAGCCCATACTGGTACCCATTTGAGGCTGGGTCGACCTGCGACGTCCCAAACCACGATACAAATACACGCAGCCCGCAGTGGGTTTAGATCTCGGTACGTTGGATTACGAGTCAGACTCGCAACGCCATAGCCACGGACGCCGGTAGCCCACCTTTGCTTCCTTGATATTTCTTGATTACGACATTAGACAGGATCAACGTGTTAGTCCTAGGTAATTTTAATATTTATCCACGATGCAGATTTGAACGATAGACACCCGGGTTGACAGACAAATGTTTAGCCACTGGGTTACTGCGTCCCGAGACAAAATTTCGGAGTTAACATTGCATGAGACAGAAACGGTTAACAACAGCTCTGAATGGGATCAAGGTCGCGCAATTAGAGCACTTGAAACACACAGTGAACGCAGAAACACAAGCCTTTGCATGTGTCGACTTGTTATTACTCATCCCCACCACCCACTCCTGTTTCCTAATCCTGCGACATAAGTGTCACTTCTCCGAAACGTCACTATGTGATGAGTATAGAGGCTGCGGAGAAGATCTTGTCAAGTGAAGCACCCACGGAAGACACCCTTGCTTTCATGAAGGCAGTGTCAAGAGACAAGGTCACGAACCTTGTACACAGATCACTGACAGATGGTCTTGACCTTTGGTACTGGCGAACTTGTTATCGTCCTGCAGTTTTAAGGCGAAAAAAAAAGCACACTAATTTATTCTAACTTTTAATGCGTGTCTTAAAATGCGGTTGAAAAGGGATGGTAAGCTGTTTACAAAAAAAGATTATGTATACCAAATTTTTTTTGTGATATCAGACTAATTGTGCACATACCTACAGACTTACTGTGAGTTGGTA